AACTTTCTACGCCAGGACATTTGCTACCAATCGGTCGCCACCGTCATAATAGATCGTGGCAGTACAAATTTCACTGTATACATCGGTTCAAGAAGGCATAACCACTTGCCGAGCAAAGCTATTTTGAGCTGTCTCGGTGTCAGATGCTTCCTTTTTATGAGTATCCGTCTACAGTTGCACAGTAACGACTTAAAAAAAAAACCACTTGACTTCTCTGCCTTTTAATACCAATTATTGCTAGGAATGAAGAAGTCAACTAGTTAGCAGAGTGAGAAATGTGTCCCACGGATTTTACTTCCTGCTACATGTCGCTAATGGTACGGAAGTCCCACTTTTTAAATTTTAGGATTTTGTTCGCATGCGCCGATCAAAGCGGGAGAGGCAGTGAAAAAAAGAATCAAAGTTGGGGCAGCACAATTCAGGCGCATATTTAGGAAAAACGTCATCCAAATGTCGCATTTCTTTTGAATGGATTCTTTACACTGTGTGTTTCTGCCGCTGTGGTGTATCAGTTTAAGCTCCTTCGGTGCAGGATGCCTCCACCGTGCTGAACTAAGCTTTTCGCAACTTGTGTTTTATAGTCGTACAAATTTTCTTCCTGAAGTGAAAGTTTTAACGCCTTTCCGATTTGAAGATGCATTAAAGAGGGAAAAAAATCTCTAATGTTTCACAAGAATATAGTAACTTGTGACGCGATAAAGTGTCGTATCCTTTCAGAGGGTTGAAACGTCAAATTCAGAATTCCCCATATTTCATCTCCAATTTCAATGAAATGGTTCAGCGGTTGAGAGAAACGGATCGTAAAATTAAGCGGATAATTGGGCAGATGGTATAATTAACTTACAATGAGCTTAGAGATTTTCAAAAAAAAAGCAAGTCGGCTTTGTAACGCAAAAAAGAGCAAAAAAAAAAAAACAGAATTTCATTGAACGATCAGACCGTTTTCGGGGAAAAAAATCGAAAAATTCAGAGCATACGACCTAGTGATTTTTGTACTGAAGAAGAGTGGTGGATGTGCTTGCTTTTTTTTTTGTTTGAGCGGCAATTGGTTTTTGAATCCCACTATTAAGATTGCCGAGATCCGCCAAAAAAAAAAACACGGTTTGAAGATCAAATGTTGCTGTTTGTACTAAGATCGTCCCAGGTGCCACCT